TAACTGAGGCAGACTCCTCTGCAGAAGCTCAGACATCTCTTGCTCTAGAAAGGAAGCTACTTTGAGAATGGCAGGAAGAACTGAGGAATACCAGAACAAAAGCAAAGACATCTGCACTGAGAGAAGCACAGGAGAATCAAGCTAAGAGCATTAAATCAGGGAGATGCCTGACTGAGACATCCAAAATCCACTCTTTGGCCCCAGAGCAGGCACAATACCAACAACAGTGGTATACAGCATACTCTTCTGATTAAGCCAGCAGATATGCCTCAGCCCTGACCTGGCAGGGCTCCTCCTAAGACTGAGAAGGGAGTTCAGCTGTTGTGACCTAGTCTTATCCTTGACAGTCTGGTGAGGCCATGAGCAGAAATGGGACCAAGTGTCAACCACATGTGCGTCTTTTCTACTGCAGAAACTCATGCCCCCCCACAGCAGAAGAAAGAGACTACTTATGGACCATCTGCCCTGGGAGAGGTATCGGCATAACTATGAAAGCAATATAAGGTAGCCAGAAAAAAATCATTTTTAGTCCACGGTAGAAGTGTCCTCATGGAGGCTTACACCAGTATATTTGTACTAGTCTAGTTGTGCCAATATACTTCCCCATATGGACATGCCCCAGGCAAATATATTTGCAGAGATATATTTTTAAATGGCTCAAGGCTTGGTTTGAAGAACATCTAAGTATGTTTGGAAAAACCCCATTTCCAGGATGCCCTCTTGGTGGATCAGCTAAGAAAGATAACACCATCTGAACAGGGACACAGAGGATCCAACCACAACAAACCTGATTAAATTATTATAAAATAATCGGAACTACCCAATTAACTAAACTTGCCCTCCTGGGAAGACTTCTTCATCTTCTCTGCAGTTGAATGAAGACTCAGGCACACATTGTAGAGGAAGCAAGAACAGGCCTGATTCAAATCAGGGTTGCTTGAAAGGAGGACAGAAAATACAACAAGGAAGGATATCTTGGTCAATTATATTCTCACCTGCCTCGTGGCATCATACATTTATATGCCAGAAGACTGGACCTAAGGGCAAAGTCTTAGTGCATGTAACGAGCAAGGGCATGTTCAAGAGCTAACACTGCAAAGCAGCAAAAAATTACCTGGAAGGTTAGGACTGACCCTCCTAATCATCTCCCTCCCTCAGCTGGGAAACCCCTAAAGGTCCCTACCACTTTCATAGCATGGACTGTCACATTGTAATGCAGTGGCTCGAGAATCACAGGGCACCTCCTCTCCCATTCGCACTTGCACACACTGCCTTACTCAGGCACCAAAAACTGCAGGCCTTGACACCAGTACTGAGCTAAGAAAAGTAGCTACAACTGGATACAATGTAAGCTAATACCACATGACTAGTCAACCCTCTGCAAACAACTTTAAGTGCACCATAAGCCAGAGGCCATAACATGGGAACTGCTGCTGGACCCGATCCAGCTGTGTGTGGTCTGTTAAGAGTTCTTGACACTCCCTTCCCTACTGATCACCTCACCCACAATATCAGGAGCATGCTGTATTCCTGGAAAGCCAGAGCTCAGTAGGGCAGAACTCGCTGTAGCTTCTCCTTTCTATGCCCTCCAGAATTGTTCCTTGATCATAGCAGCACCATTCTCCTGACTGTACACATCTTGTTTCTTTCACCAAGTTTTCATGGTGCTTTGTAATTCAGCTTTACCTTAAATGCTCAGCTGCTTGCCTCCACCCACCTGACTTTTCCTTTCTAATTACTGTTCAGGTCTTGCAACAAATGAAAAAGAATGATGGTGCCAGGACTGAGGCATCCCCTTCTAATTCAGATGCAAAAATAAAGTTAGATGTTTCCTATGTTTTCTCCTGGAAAAGTTTTAGTTTAGTTGCCTACCTCTGTCCAGAGCAGAATTTGGCCTTCAGCTCCAGTGTTAGTCGGATGAAAGAGGAGGACACTAGGAGGAAGGCAGTGGTGAAGGACAATATAAATACAATGGGAGACAGAACATCTAAGGCAGGGGGTCCCCTGACCAGCCCTGGCTTCTCAGCACAGGAGCTGGCAAAGGTGGCAAGTCGCCCCAGATGGAAGGCATCTTGCAAGCCTTGCTCTCTCAGAGGATCCACAGGCAAATCATCTTTGCAGATTTTGGAGGGAGGCAGTATCTGATTCACTGACTCTACAGGTCCTGGTGGGAAGGGAGAAGTAAGCTCCACCACATGTATAAATTCAAAGGAGGAGAATTAAGTACCCGTGCATCCCTAACCCAGGAGGGCGTAAAGAAGACACACTCAGAGGCACTCTACATAGGAACTGCCGCACCGGAAGAGCTTGTTGGTACATCTAACATGAGCTCCTGTCTACAATGGCCAATCCTGGGTGCTTCCAAGGAAGCAGTGATGTTAAAGTAAGATCCCTTCCATCACGCGGCAGATTTTGTTTGGATCCCTAGTTTTTATCTTAGAGAATGTAAGTACCACAGACACTATGCTTACTTCAGCAAATGCCTACCCTATCCTCCCACCCCATGTGAAATCTTGCTAAACTACTTCAGTAATATCCATCAGCAACAAGTTCTACAGAATAAACAGGTTGTTTATGATGCAAAAGCAGCTCAGTGACAATGATGTCATTGCCTGGCATACCCAGCTTTCTTGAGAATTTCTCACACATGCTTGGCACCACGGTGAACAGGGTGTTAAGGGTTGAGATGAAAACCTCCATCAGAGTTGGGCTGACAGTCTGTCCAGAGTGCTTCTGTGGGAAAAAGATATTCTCAACAAGCAAGCACCATGCCCCCTTGTGACAAGAAACATACAAACATTCCCAAGAAGAAACAGTGATTTTTTTCCAGTGGTTCTCAGGTGTGCCAAGCCAGACAAATATGCTTGACTAGCAACCCCTGTCCCAAGACTGCTGACAGAAAATGCTCTGTCTCAGACAGCAGTCTATGCTAGGTCCTTCACAGACTTAATATCTTCCTCCCCGTGAGCAGTGAAATGAACTATGCAAGACTGTGTACCGGGATTCACAACCTTTCACCTAAGCAGGCTGCAGCTTGTCGCCTAGCCTTTGCTTTGGGTGGCAAGTTTCTGCCCCTCCCCACACTCCAAGCAGCCAGCTGCCAGATATCCAACCCCTCTGCAGCAAGGATAAGCTCAGATGCTGTAGAGCAGCAGGCTCTGCAGTGGATGCAGAGAGGATGGGTGGCACAGAGCAGCTCTATGACACCAATCTCCAATGCCAAATTGGACCTTGGGCCATAGGTTGCCAATCTCATGCTGTACACTAACTGCAGGATACTTCTTCCTGATCCCAGCTGGTAATCAGCTAATGGCCCAAGGCACAAGGATTGATACTGCAGTATAAAACACTTAAGCAGGTAAGGCAAGCAGCAATCTAAATTTCCCAAACCCCACCGATTTCAATAGTTAAGGCACTACCCTCTTATAAAATACCACAATGTTGCAACCTACAGAGTAAGGTGAGTGTAAGGCACCTAAAACCCTAGCCCCCACTGCCTTGTGGGTACTCCTTGGTTGGAGAAGGCCTAAAGGACATCACCCTAACAGAAATGCACCATGGCTGGTGTTAGGCAGTCATCAGTAGTACTTATCTGTTGCTCTCTGGCAGAAGCTACAGCCTTCAAGACACTGATCCTCTGGACTCGGTCTGGCCTTTGAATTCTGTTTCAATGGTCTAAACTGGGGATGGTAGGTCTTGGGCAGCCTCCACTACTCCATACACTTACCTAGGTATACACATCAAAGGTCTTGGTATGATGGTTGCAGGACTCTGTACAAGCAGATTCATCGGATACCTGACTAGACCTTTTGCACCATGATCCAGAGGATCGATGGTTGTCTACTAAACCAATTTAAAAGTACCTGTTAATTTGTGCAGGAATAGCCAGCTCACGGTTTTCCACACTTCATTAATGACCATTACAATGGTGCCCAGAGCTCCCTAGCTTTTGTTCAGCTGCTGACTCTTCATGCAGACTGGTTATGTCATTTCTCATAGCATCTTCTTCTAACAGAAGCTGTAAAATTGTCAGGATCTGGGGCTTATTCCATGGCCACGTAAGACTGAATGCAGCCCATCTTGTCTGATCTCAAACACTGAAAGTTCCTGGGCCTAGCTAGGACTTAGATGGGGACCTCGCTAGTATTCCTGGGGGCTGGAAGCAAAACAGCAGCTGCCAGATGGTACAAGGCTTCTACCAGCAGACAGCAGCTAGCACAGGGAAGTCACCCCAGCACATACACACCTTCACAGCTCCACTACAGCAACTGTACCAGCAGGATGTGCAGTGCATCCTGGGTGGTGGGCATCTGTTAAAGAGCCACTGCAGCTAGCAGAAAGCACAGACCTACCTACACGTGCCTTACGTTAGCTGCCTGGCGGTGGTGGAAGCCTTGTATCACTCACGGGGCTGACGCTGCTCTGACACTAAAATGGACAGGTCCTGTCCATTCTGTAGGGTAGACCTGGCCCTAATCAGCTGCATGACTGACTAGCACAGCACTGACAGTAGTTGAGATGGGCCAAGGATTAACAGCCCATTCCACGTCAGGCAATTTACTGCCACACAAACCTGCTATACAGAGCATGGACTGTATTTTAATATTTTATTCTAGACAGAATCACTCTAAGTGTTATCCAAGTTCAGCTACTGAGGCCCAGAGTCAACAAAGCAGTGAATGGCAGACTTATATATTTAAGCACATGTGTATAGTCCACTGACTTAAACAGGACTTGTAAATCAGTGCCTTGTTGAATAGAGGTAGGCATAAGCACTTACATGCTCTGGTCTGAAACCTGTCTCGAAAGAGTTTAGTAATAGATTTGTATGAAGCATGAGATATAGGTGTAACAACCAACTCCTTTTTTTAAAACCTCAACCTTTCCTCTATCAAGCTCTGAGCCCAAATAATGTCCTACGATTGTAAATTCCACGGGTTAATTGATACACTGTGCAAATAGATGAAAAAAAGGAAATTGCAAATGTTAATTCTGTTGCTTTCCATGATAGTGCCAGGTTTTGAAAGAGGAGCTGAGGAAAAGCAGTGCACATATCCATCACCTCCAGCAGCAGCCAGACCTGCCTTTCATTACATAATTTGGGAGGCTTAGCTATGGCAGAGATTACAAAATCTGGAGATATTTGGCTGTTCTGTACAAGGAGGTGCTTCAAAGCATTTACCCTCTAGACTTCTCTCTTCCCTTTCCCATAAATCAAATAATTTGGAATTTGTTCAGTGGTGAGTCAGGATACACTATAACCCTACTTGCATGAACATGATGCACTGGCTTACCCTCATACTCCTATTCCCCACAAAGATTCCTTTCAGTCATCTCCCATGAACATCCAGGCAACTCAGGTGACCCAATCCATGTGCCTGAGGGACACAAGTCATCCTACCATGTGTTTGGAAGTCACCCTACCATGACTAGAGGGATGCAAAGATGGTCACAAATCCTCAGCAGAAATGCAGAGAAGCTGCTCAGGGTATTCTCACTCTCTGAGCTGGGAGCAGTGAAAGCATTCTCCTGAGCTGAGGGATCGCTTTGACATTCCACTGCCAACCTGCAAATACATATGAAGGTATCAGTAAATGCATTCTCCTACTTGGTAGGGGAGCCATGATGTGCTACATTCTGTAAAGCCTTTTATTCCAAAAGACCTTAGAGCACTTTGCATGTTGCAAGTAAGGGAATCTGTCAGTAACATATAGCTGCCCCTTGTGTAAAACCGGACAGCCAGTCAGAGCCAGCAATGCTACTCAAGAGTGTTATGGAAAAGGAAAAGAATAACAACTTCTCCAAATTAAACTCCTGCTGCAGGAGTCAGGGGACATAGTTAAGTTAAATGTACTTAATCAGTCTGGAATTTCTCCAGAACACACAGGCTAATGCCTTAAAGCTTACAAACATTGCCAAATAGTATTTTAACAATCCTAAATGGCTGGGATCCTAGCTTGACTTCTCAGCCAAGAGAAAGCCTGATAGAAACACTGCGCCTCCTCACACCGCTCCCACACACCCTTTCACCACACACCAGAAAGAGTACCTTTGCCTGAATAACTACTGCCAAATCAAATCAGTGGCATGAGACTGAGTAATCTGAGTAATCTTTTCTACCCACAGTCCTGGTTTGAAAAACAAGTTCAGATCCTCTCCCTGACTGCCTCAACTCAGGGGAGAAATCACTCCCTCAGACCAAACTGGCAGAGAAGCTGCCTACAGTCTCCTCCAAGGGCTCCTATTTGCAGCAACAAGCCAGAAATACAACCAACAAGTCTGCCAGATAAATCCAGGCAGGCATTTGTTAAATGGCCACCTTTGCTCTAGTCACGAAGAGGGACTGGATGGCTCAGCAGACTGAAAATGGAGTCCAATTTGCCACCCACCTTCCACTAATTCAGACTGAATCACTAGAGTTGGTTAGTGACCACAATTGGTTAGTTTTATTTTCAAACACATTAAGGACCCGTATGCAGTCAGCTGGTGGGTATCAATCTAATTTCTAATGGGACTGGTGAACATGTCACAAAACCATCCCCCCCAAACCAGTGCTAAGTGTGGTCCTAGCAGTGCTTCAGCAAAAAGGCCAAGGACTGAACAGGCCACTGGGCAGCAAATTCCTCTACCAGAGAAGCAGTCTCCCTGGCCAAAGTAAAGTCCCCAGGAGGGCCCTTGCTTTGCAGCTGCCTGCAGTTCACATGATCTGTAGATAGAGAATCTGAATCTCCATTGTGTCACCTTTCAGCAACACCACAATATCAATGGCACTTAATATTAAAAAAAATTAAACTAGTGCAGGTGGCTAAGCCTGCTCTATCTTCTGGCTACCACATGGCTGATACACCAAACAGCAGCTGTTCTGTAGGTGGTATGTATGCAACGTAAGATGCACTTACCTTCATGTAAAAGTGAAGAGAGGCTGAAAAGACTGCTAGTGAGTACTGTGTGTGTGGGAGGAGAATCGCTGACTGAACCGGGAACAGAACTCCCCTTTTTCAGCTCCTCACCTGCAAGCATTCCTGAAGCCGTCCAAGGTGCTGAGCAGGAATTGCCCCTGCCTGAGGAGAGCTCTGGTCTGGTTTCTGTTTCCTGAGTGACTCTGAGCTACTGAGAAGAGGTCACCCTGTTACAAGAGGAAAACAGGGATCTTGTGCAACAGAAGAACTCTCTTCTATAAAACCATGAAATGAGCCAGCAAGCTCCATTTATTTAGCTAAGCTCATTTCACATGCAGATTGGTACCTTTTTGTTGAATGTTATTGCCATGGCCAGCTTCCCTTTAAAGGTTAGGCACAGAAAAGACCTATTAGGTATTACTATGCTCCTCAAGCAAGGCAGTAATTAAATAGCTCCAGTGATAGGCCTCCTGACACATCCTCAAGCTGGATGCCCACCTTCCATGTTCTTTGAATTGTGTTTCATCCTGTTACTCCTTACACAACCTTCAACAACTCCTCTCCCATCAATCTACTTGTAAGACCTTTGTGTTCATCTTTAGACTCCAATTCTACAGCTGATTCTGCACAGATGTCTCCACACAGAGTCCCTACAACTTCGACTAGGAGTTCACTTGTGTCTAGGCAGCTGCCAGGTCAAAGCATTAGTCACTCAACTAAGTTAAGGCACACATCAGCCTTCCTCCAGCCCCTGGAACATATGCATTACTCCTTGCGGATTCTTTCCAGCTGGACAGCAATAAAAAAGTTATGAGTTGGTGCCCAAGTGAATTCCTTTCCCACTGGACGCTAAAGCATCTTCCACCACACTGGAAGTAGCACCATTTTCTGCTCCCCTCCAGTCAGAACATACCAGGATCCAGTCTTCTTTTCCACAGCCTAATTCCCCCTCCATTACAAATCCACTGTCCTAATGAAGCACATAACTGAGTCGAAGCAAATCAGCCTCTAAGTTCCAACCAAGAAGTGAGAAACAACATCACTATCCCCAGCATGCTAAGGTCCAGACAGCAGAGGCCACACAAGCCAGACCGTGCACAATTCTAGTGACAGTTCAGCATGTCCTGCATAATCCTACATTTCAGTCAGGTACTTCTCCCATCATGAACACACTTGTGATTTAGGCCCATGCACATGTAAATCTCAAATAGAGACTCTCCTCCTTCATTTTGATGTTCAGTCATTTGAAATCACTGCTCCTCTTCAGGTCTGGCCTGGAAATACAAGTGCCAGAAAGAGGGAATGACCTGGAATCCAAACAGCTGCTGGAAGGGACCACAAACCCCAGAAAGCAACTCTGGTCTGAAGGCACAGACATTGCAACACACATAGCAGAGGGAGCATGCAATGATGGTGCCCAGAGCCTGCGGTGGCTTGAATTCCCTTGGAACTAGCAGGGCTGGGGAGGAAGCCAGCTCAGCCCAGAGGAAAGGAACGCCTTGAACAACTTGGTTACAAGCTTCTCCCCTCTCGCTGATCTGGCAGCAGCAAAAGCTTCCAAAGGGGTCCATACCCAGCCTTTCTCACCTAGACAGACAGGTCAGTCCACACTGGGGCCTTTCTGAGAAGAAAAAACAAAGGGAAACTGTGGGGATCTCTAAGAGTGACCCACCACCCTCCATGGGATAAGGAGACTGAAATGTGTATGCATATGGCAGCCAGGTGCCCTGCTAAAAGGGCCATTGCCCACTCTCTGTCAAGGAGCAGCAGTGTGACTTACTGCAGGCCTCCTGCTACTGCGTGGCAAGGAGAGGTCAGCACATCGCTTCAGCATAGCTTCCATCAGGGTCTGCAGCTCTTCATATGGCATTGGGGGGGAACTCAAATGGTCCTTCCTGCAGAAACAGGGGGAAAGGAAGAAAATGTACAACTTGGAAGAAGCCTTTGAGCAATCCACATTGGGGACAGTGCTTTCTGGAAAGTCACAACATGGTACGCTTCGCATGGCGAAGGCCTTGTCTAATAGCAGCATGCCTCACGAATACACCTCAACCAGTGTGGCAAGGCCACACAATGCAGGACCAGTGCCTCCATTACTCTATGACAGGGCTAAAAGTGACTGTGATTGAGTCAGGGCTTGTGTGTCTATAATCAAGGGTGGGACTGCAGCATGTATAGAGACACCCCAAGCTAGCTATTATCTACCCAGCTTAAATAAAGCTAGCCAAAGACCCTGGGTTCTTCCCTGGGCAGCTAAACTGTGCCTACAACCATGTTGTTGTAGCTTCATCACCACTGCTACCAGAGCAAGCTAGAAGAACACTATATCAGATACAACTACACACACTGAAATCACACCTCTGACTGCAGAAAAAGCACATCCTCACACAGACCAAGCTGCAGCTAGAGAGGCCAAAACAAGTAAGATGTATGCATGAAGTCTAAGCTATGTCTCTTCTGAAAGAAGCCTACCAGATTTCCACCCCTCCCCTCCCCCACTACTCACCTCAAAAGAGCAGCCACAGCTTTCACAGCCTCTGCTGCTACTTCCAGCACAGGGCAGTTGACTGCCTCCATAAGAACACTAATGGCATTTTTGCACATGGCATGATTTGTGAATAACTTGATTTCCCCCGGCTGCCTGCAAAGGGCAAACAAAGAACAAACAGATAAAGATTTGCCACTGCTCCTCCTTGAAAAGAGCGTGTGTGTGGGGGGGGTTAAATAAATAAAAGAAAAATACAATGGTGTCCTCTCCTTGCTCCCCAAAATATACACCTGAACCTTGTGATGTCAGTCACACTATCAGGGGCCCACATGATTGAGGCCCCAAGAACTGCCTTGGGATGGTTATGCTCTATAAGAGCATTGAACAGCCTAATATTTTTCTTTTAAACTTTCACACTGTTGGTGGGCTGTGGGCTGCTGGGTCATAACTTCTCTCATGATAGGTGTTTGTCCAAAGGGCTGGAGATCTGCCAAGGTGAATAATCCAAATGTCCAGATGGCTAACTGACTGGATCAGAAAATATTGAACTGGACACTTCATGAGAAACCTACTCTCCCTCAAGATACTTATTTGCATTTTTTCTACTTAGGCTTTTATACTGGGCTCCTTATTCTGATACTTGCATGCTCATTTGAACACGAATGTTTCAAAATACCTAAATAGATGTCCTGCTTCCAGGGAGCTTGGCAATGGGCTGAAACTGAAGATAACTTTCCTTACAATACTGTGGTGCTGCTAACTGAACTTAAAAAAAAATCTTTTAAGTAAGTTGTAAATGAGCCTTTTTTTTCTGGTTAGTTCATACAAATGAGAGTTAGTGATCAGATCCTCTCACACCAGAGCTGCGATGCTCAATCTTTTTGTTAACATGTAATATTGCAATGCACCCCTATGATTCCACATTAGAGGGAATGGAAACAGTAACGCTTTGGGTCACTACACCATGACCTGCCCAACTACCCAAGAGAAGCCACAGAGTTGTTCTTCATTTTGTCTTTTTTGTTCTATTCTTCCATTTACATTTCTGTCTCATTCCTTCCTTGTGTTCTCTTTGGAATTTTGGTGCACGTGCCCCAGATTGACAATCACTGCAGTAAACTATTTAGTGTTCGGGGCCTTTATTGATGTTACAACACAAGGAGTGAACATAAGTGAGTGCAGCAGCGCTATTTCATCACCCCACACCTCTGCACCCAAGACCCAGGAACGAGCTAAGAACAGCAAGTTGGGAAGAGGGTGGGGGAAATGCCCTTGGGTGGGTTGGGGTCCATGCCTGGGCAGGGATTATAGTATTTACACAAAACATCAAGTTTTTCTCTTTGCTTTCTGATTTTGTTAAAAATGTGCTTTACTCCCATTTCAAACAACAGCCACTTTGAGGAAAAGCTTCACTGACTGATTTGAGGACGATTTCTACTGACTTATTCAAACAGTAAAAACAACACTGCAATACAATGCATTGCAACATCATTTGGGCCTGGAGAAAAATTCTAAGGGTGACACAAAGGGATCCTGCCATAGGATACTCAACATCCCTATGCTTCAGTGCCAGGCACACAGCTCTGGGAACAGACTTCACAAGCCTTGGGCTGCTAACTGATGTGGAAAAAACAAAACAAAACAAAACAGTGGTTTACCAGAAGAAGTAGTGCATTAATTCAACACAGCTCCTCAGTGTCTGTATAGATTCACACTTCAGCGGGGCTTTTTGGCACTTCTATCTAATAGCTAATTCAATCAGCTATTAGATAAAAGTGCCAAAAAGCCCTACTGAGGCACATGATCTATACAGACATTGGGTGAGCCAAGTCAAACTAATGCAATGCCTCTTCTGGGTATGTGCTGCGCTTGGTACAGGGGCATGCCAAGCTTAAAGTAAAGCACTGTTTTTTTTTTTCCATGTCTGTAAGCAGCCATAGATGCCTTACGCCAAGGCACCTAGGACTTGGATTCACAATGCTCAGCACACCAAGAAGTGGAGACACTAGGCCAGCCAACAGGAAGCAAAGGAAGAGGCACACCTGAAATTCTGCCCCTCTCACAGACTTAGGCAATAGTCAAGCACCTTGATGTAGTGCACAGTCAGGAGCCAGAGCCTAGGACTCTCCTCCTTCCAGTGGAGTGTCTTCCTCCCCTGGCTGCAAGGTCGGACTCTCTCATTCGTTATGTCTCTCTGGCCCATGTCTCTGGTATTCTTTACCGCACAGTGGCCCAACTTGTACAGAAGAAGTAAAAAAAACCTTCTGCCCAGCCCAGCCACTAGCTCAGTGTGTAGAGTGCTCTGCAGGAAAGCAGGAATGCTATACTTTGAGCCCAGTCAGACTGGGGATTGCCTAGGACCCAGGTCTCCCACTTCCCGGGTGAGCGCTTAACCTACAAGGTGGGCAGCACTAGCTCCACCATTCTTTGCAATGAGAGTGGCTAAGCACTGCACCCAATGACGTCAATTGGTCTGAGGGATATCTGAGTATATTTGCTGGCACATCAGAGGTACTTAGCACAAATCCATCTAGCTTGTGAACCCCACACAGTCTTCGGTAGAAGGCTGGCACCAAGGTGCTCAGCTCAGGCATGGTGGCAGTGGCTCCAAGTATAAGCAGTTGCTGAACCTGTTTCTATGAACCACTACTTTGGATTTTGGTGCTTAAAACTCAATGCAAGTCCAATTTCAGATGCCTCAGTTCTTTAATAAAGCCTGCCCTAAATGACAGTAGCCACAGAGCCATCAATTGGGTCCCAAACTCTACCTAATGCTCCACCTACACTAAGAAAGACAAGGGGCACAGCCAGGACAGAGGAATGCTGCTGAGCTACTACAACCCTCTGATGTTTTCAATAACCCAAGGAGACTCACAAAGGTGAAGCATATCCAGACACCTTAGCCAAAACGAAGGCATCATTGCAGCCTTCAGTAACAGGGAGAGTGGGAGGGGAAAAATTAGAGGATCCTTAACAGCACCCCATTCCCCACCATAAAACAGGTGATCTGAAAGAAAAGCTACACTTCAAAGTAAGGGTACTGAACAAGAACACATGCATTAAAAAACCTTTAACTTAGCTAGACATTATCTTCTCTCCACTCCAGTTATTAATGCAGAGGTTTGTGTTTTCTGAATGAAAACTGTTCTCTTCTTGTATTTAGTTCCTCTTTCTGATACATCCCAAGTTGGCACCATCAAGCCTGCACCAACTACCTCATATTTTTTGCTGCAGAATTAATTCTAACATCACAGAAATTCAGATGGAAGGTTCTCTTGGGGAAACAAGCAGGAAAAAAGAAGTGTGAAGGGAAGTTGATCATAGGAGGGAAGAGGGGAAAATAACCCAGTGTAATGTATGCATTGTGTAATGCAATGCGTTGTGTCCACTGAAAAGGTGATGTGAGCGTGTGACAGAAGGGAAGCAACCTTGTGCAGGCCTGCTGACTGACCATGAACTACAAATCGCAGAGGCACCTGGAAGCAGGAAGAGGAAGTGACAAGACCCTGCAGTGCCTTGCTACTGGACTGCAAATCCCAGAAAACTTTGGGGACAGGAGGAAGAGGTGGTGACCTCTGAGCCTTGGCTGGCTATGTGCCAGAAAACTGGATGCTATGTGGTGCCTGCTGTGAGATGGACTGAAGGAGAGGGAAGCCTCCACACAGCATAGATGAGCTACAAGACTGACTGCACATGATTCCAAACCTACAGACCTGCACAAAGCAACTCTGAACTAAAGGCTGGTTCTTAGGGACACCTCTGGAGGTGGGCAGGGGACCCTGTGTGCTGAATGCATGTACCCCAGTGGTACTGACCAGCACCTGTTTACTTGCCCTTTAAGTGTATGTTTTTGTACTTTGGATGCCTATGTACTTGTATTTGCCCCTTCCCATTGGCCTGTGATCCTAACCCCTAGGACACTCAGTATAAAGTAAATGCAACACAGGTGGAAATGAGAGCCTGTTGAATACCAAAGAAGGGGGCTAACATAATCCATTGGTTCTCTGCTGATGTTGTCAGGAAGACAGCCAGCAACAGGCAGCTGCACTCACTGGTGGTCATGTGTGATCTACACAAGACAGTTTTATCTGAAGTCTTCAATTAGACCCCTTTTTACTGAACCGGCCCTCGCCCTTACCCTCTCCTTGCACTCAACATCTGCACGAACAAGCCAGAAGGCGGTCCCTTACCGTTTCAGTATTTCAGTGAATAGCAGGAGCCCCTGCTTGTGCAGCTCCACGTTGTTCAGTAGCAGGATCTCTCTGAGACTTCTCACCAGAGACTCAATGCCTGCAGACATGGAAGGGAAGTAATAAGGAGTGTGCTCTCACACACACAGACCAACAATCCAGAAAGGGACGTGCAAAGACCATGGCATCACAGAATACACCACTGATACTCTCCTGCCTGCCAACTTGCCTCCCCTTCCATTTGGGAAAGTCACATCTGGAGACAGGAAGACAATTTGGCCTCAATGGTTTAGTCAGTCCTTGTCCTCTCTGTAGAGACAGCCAGCGAAGGCACCACGAAGGCCAAACAGGATGTTGGTCTTTGTAATGTCAGCACAGACCCATTAGGAACTAGACTGAAATCTCACACTTTCATGTCACAGAAGTCCTCAGCCAGGAATAATTTCCAGTCACCATCATCCTGATTTGGAATGAGCGACCTTACAGGAAAGGGCTCTGCAATCCCACCCCAATGTCAGAGGTACCAAGTCCACCCAATGGGCACTTGTACACATGATGATATGTATAATATTGCAATAACTTTGTTAGGTCAGAAATCACCTACCATAAACTGTGTGACACTTGGAAAAAAAAAGCCACTCCTCCGTTAGAAGTAGCAGGCAGCAATAAACTGACCAGATGAGAATTTCACTAGTGCAGGAGAGGCAGTCGAACAGGAACTCTGCAAACACATAAAAAATTAAAACCCCAGGGAAAACAGAACCTGCACACAGCATGAAACAGTTACTCCTAGATTTGAGGAAAGAGGGACAGGAAAACTAACAAGAACAGCTAGTAACGGCAACAGAGCTGCTAGCTTTCTTCAGCTTAAGTGAGAAGAGCTGCAGTACAACCCATGGAGAAGACTGAGAGAAAGTGAGAAAGGAAATGATGATGGAAATACCATCTTCAATGTAAAACAACTCCTGAAGGCTTGTGGATAGCCCTTCTTCCAGCATATAGTTAGCAAGCAGCTTTGTCACAGGTCTACTAACCCTCCCTCCCAAACTTTTATATAGCCAAAGAACGGACGTACAAAAGCAACACGATTCATTTTTTCTGGGGCAATGGAAATTAAAATATTATATTGGCCTGGGTCTGCTTCCTGCACCCAATGCTGAGCTGAATTACACCCTGAAGATAACCCCACTTAAGTCCATGAAAGGTACAGGGTTTAATTCAATGCAGAAACTGGTTTGCTTGGGTTCTGCAGCTCTGCTACCACAGGCTGAAATCTCCTCAAAATACCCAGTCTAAAGAGGGATGGAACGGTCAGCCCTTGGACAGACAACTTTAAAGAAAAAGCTAAATACTGTGAAAAATATTTAGCAGTTTGATAAAGAGTGTTCTGAGTCACTGGGGGGCCTATAATTTCACTATGTTGCCAGCCATGTGGTGCAACTGGAAATGACATCTTTCAGACAAGATATGAGGTCAATTACAGATTTTAAAAAATATCCCCTAGGACCTTTTGCAAAAGGAATTGTGGAAGTTGATCTACCCAAATTACAACTCCAGACATTCTGTCTTCCTAAACCTCCTTCTACAGTTTCAGTTCAAACTCATCCTTCAGTCCTTAGACAAAGTTGAATCTTCCTGATGGTGCAGAATGGCTGCTTCCCCAGATTCCCTCTGAGGTGGCTTTATCCCATAGAACTACACTGACAAGTACAACCTGCAAAGTGCTTTGAGACCTGTGGGTGACAAAACCTATGGAATTACAAGGGATTACTGTCTCTTCACCTGGAATGTCTGCATGGATAAAGGCAGGAGCATATTTGACTGGAGAATGCACCAGGACAGCAGCCATACACTGAGTGCTTGCCACCTGTAACGTCTCATCTCTGGACAGCAACAGCTGTGGTAAAGCAAAAACAGGAAGAGGAAGAATGCTATATATATAGCATTTATATATATGGTAAATGCTATAATTAAGGAAATACAAACTAGTTCCAAGTACTAGTTCCAAGTGAATACACAAGAGGTTGATTCATTGCAATCAATGAGTAGTCATCAATAGCTTAATGTTTAGGTATCAGGTGATGTTCCCCAGGGGTCTGGCTTGGGTCCAGGATCATTTAACATCTTCATTAATGATCTGGACAATGGGACTGAGTATACACTTAGGAAATTTGCAGATGATACCAAGCAGAGTGGAGTTGCAGACCGACTGGAAGGTAGGGCTAGGATCCAGAATGACCTTGATAAACTGGAGAAATGGTCCGCAATCAATCAAATGAAATTCAACAAGGATAAGTAGAAAGTCCTATACTTGGGATAGAATAATTGCACACACAAATACATACTGGAAAATGACTGATTAGGTTGCAGTACTGAAGGGAAGGACTTGGAGGTTATACTGGACCCCTAAGTAGTAGAGGTACACCAGTACAATTGTCCCATATTGGATAAGCACCGATATGAGGAAAATAAAGAGCATCGGTAATTGGCTTTTTTTGTCTGATGTGGCCAATAAATACGTTGTGCAGGCACGCTGCAGCACAGCATGCAGGCAGGCAGGAGCATGGCCTGGCACCATAGACAGCAGCATCCAGATAGTAAGTCTGTTGTGGGGGAAGGGAAGGGAAGGGAAGAGAAGGGAAGGGAAGCAGTGTGGTGGGGGCAGATTGAGGCCCCCACTGTGAGGGAGGTAGTGAGAGTGGGGCTGGGGCAGGTGTTGCCCAGCCGGGGCAGAGCAGGGCATGAGACGGAGCCACAGCTCATCCAGAGGGCAGCGCAGGGGGGATGGACGGGCCACAGCTCCTGCCACTATGTGCATCCTAAGTTGGCATGGGGGGGGCGCGTACCCTGGATCTGCGCACAGAGTGAGGGCAGGCTGCCACTGAGGGCTGGGGCTGTGTCAGACTCTTGCCAGCAGGGGGCCTGGGCCAGGCTGTGGTCAGGGCAGGCGGCAGCGGCACTGGTAGGGGAGCTATGGGGAATGGGGGAGCTGCAGCCACCCCAACATTTGCCATAGCCCCTCCAACTCTCCCTCCTAGCGCCACCGCTGCCCACCCCAAGCTCAGCCCAGTGCCCAACAAGGATAGCCTGGCACTGCCCTGGCCTCAGCCAGCAGCGGCAGCCCACCCTCACCCTGAATACACGTGACCCCCATGCCCTCCCAGGGTGCATGCAACCGCAACAGTGCCCCCCCATCTCCTCCCCATGCCCCCCGGAATAGCTGTGGGTCCATCCCCCTCCCCGCCCCG